GCTATATTGCCTTATATGTATTAGCTCGGTGCTAGCGCAACAAACTAACAAGCTAAACTGAGGTCCTCATCCATATTTTCAGTTGCAGGCTGAGTCACTTTTGCGTTCCCCTCTCTGTCATGGATGGAGGACCTCAGTGACGAGAGGAGAATGTGTAGCGCTGAGCTAATACATATACAGTATATGGTGATAGTGTTGGGGCTAAAGCTAAAGCTAATAGGCTAAGCTGAGGTTCTTCTTCCATGAAGCAGCTSTGTTGTCCTCCATCCATATTTTCAGTTACAGGCTGAGTCATTTCTACCTTCTCCTCTCTGTCAACACTCGCTGGTTTCTTTTAAGAGTCAATCATCAGATACTGTCCAAGATTAACCTTCAGTGTGGATATAGCTCGCTAGCTGCCTTGCACTGATGACCTATCCACGTCATCAGTTACCCAGAGTACTTTGTCTGCAAATAAAATGGCCCCGTCCATGTAATATCTTTTTAAACTTTTAGTTTAAAAGTTTACAAAACTAAACAGCCTACAGTATTTTTACAGTCTATTTTACAGTTAAAATAAATGTTTATCAAATAAATGCTACAACTAATCATGGATCCCTTTAAACGTGGTGGTCACAAAATAATATGATTAAGTGTTTTAAATATCTCATTGTGTGATACGTTTAGGATATTTTTATATAACACTCACCCCTAATGTGTTGTGCTAAAGTCTGTCAAGTTTTTGAAACAAATAGCTTGCAGATAAGTAATTTTCCTTCATTGATACAAGAAGGAAAGTTTACCTGAAAAGCAGTAAAATCTTTAAAAACATGTTTTGGTTAAAGAGAACTAGCGGTCTATAGGGAGGTCTTTGGTCTTTACAGAAATGTAGTCACAAGCAGGATACAACTTGCATTATTCTTTTCTTTCTTCTCTTCATATTTCACCTTTGAGCTGTCAGAGTAATCAAAGAGAACTCATGGTGTGAAGGGAAACGACATTATACTAAACGAGACTGATAGGAAGCTCACGCTGCGAGTGTAACACATATGGAAGGTGGTGAGAATTAATTTAATTATGTGCACCAGATGTACGTGAAAGATAAACCATCTGGCTGATCAAAACTGACTACTCTTCTCTATATATGATTGTGCAATTACTTGAGTCTTTTTCTGCGGAATTTCACAAGTTATCTCTCGCCGCAGCCATAGGAACAGGGCTAAATTTGGATTTGATTAAAGCAAAAGCTCAGGTGTAACGCAGAGGCAGGTGTGAAAATGTTTTACTCGAATGACTGTTTTTTCTTTTCATTTTCATCTGTCAGACGGTGGAAGGAGAAATGGGCAAGAAGGATGCCAGTGCGACCAAATTACCAGTTGATCAGTACAGAAAGCAGATTGGTGAGTTTTCTGTCCTCTGATGGGTTGTTTTGTTGTGTGACAGCAATTTTTTCATAAACATTCAAATACCATAATGAATAATTGGAAACCATGAATGTTGCCTGATTAAAAAATTAAAAGTTGGATCAAATTCAGAGTAACTTTATTAGCTGATAATAAAAACAGTATATTCTGTAAATAAATTCATGACGCTCTTTGAACTGTCAAGGTTTCTCTTCTTTTTGTTGCGCAACTTCATTTCAGCCAAACTCATAACTCACAGCTTCATGTGGGCATTTTGACCGCAACACATTAATCATAGAAACAAGCTAATATTACACCCAATAAATCACATTCAGTTTTATGCAAGACCGTTGAAAGTTTTGGCTTTGGAGAAATAAGTGTCATCTTTTGCAGAGCTTTGGAAACCTTTTATATTTTTGCATTCATATTACTAAATTAAAATGAGTTGTTTGATGTTTTTAAACCAAAGGAATGAATAGACAGAAGCTCATGACAGTGTGTACCATTCTAAAAAGACTGCCTCTTTGATTTTCTTTTGTCTGCTGCAATTTTGTTAAAGCTAAATGCCATTTTAATCCYGTCATATTCGGTTTTCTTTTATATCACAAAGATCTAACTAAATACAATACAAGCCTTCCAAGCAAGCGAGAAAGATTTCATCTCTCTTGTTTAGCTGTTAGTTTCTTTTTCCTGTTGCAAAGCAAAACCTGATGGTTGCCGCAGGCAAATCTGAATAATTGGGAGCAGCTTTGTGTGACACAAACAAGCCTTTTAGGCTTTTTAAAGATTTTACTTCAGATCCCAGGAGTTGTGTCTTGTTTACATAAAATACAACTAGATCTTCTTATTAGGCTCAACAGCTGTCCAGTTCCTGACACAAGGGCATTTTTAAAGCACTTATTTGAAGAACTGTCAATGAGGAGTCCACTGTTGTGTTTGATCAGTGATTGTCATCACGGGGGTGGTTTTACATGTGATAATGATGAGAAAGAGAAAATGGCAGTGCAGATTTTTACATGCTTGCTTTAAAAAATAAGATATTTAGACAATGAAAATTGATAAATCTTTGTGTAACTCTAACGCAGTATTGGACAGGTGAAAACATTTATACAACAGGAGCTGTTTTTTAATCATACAAGTCAGGATTTGTGACATGGTTTTAAACACAAATGATATGAAACCACAGTTTGAGTTAGCGATAGAAGAAGAYAGAATCTTTAAAAAAAGCATGACACAAAATAAATCAAAGGAACTTAGATCATTTCAAACGTTTCATTTCTTTGAGTCCAAATACTTGCGTACATTATTCAGATACTTTAGTATTTCAGGTTTTATATATACTCGTAGAAATTTCTTTGTATTCTCAGGTATGAAAATAAACTTTTCAAATGATGTATTTCTGAGGCTGTGGGTTCAAATCCAGGTTGCATCACTAAGGTTGTCTGGTGTAAAGCAWATGCCATATGTTGATGTGAGTTTACTCACTGTGGTGACCGCTACAGATGGGACCAACAAAATAACATTTTATGCTTATTCCTCACTTGAATTTTATATATATAACTTGCACAAGTGCTTTAACATTTTCATACGAAGTGTAAAATTGTAGAATGGAACATGGTACTTTTTGTCAAGCAGTTATAAACAAGTTCTTCAGAATACTTATTTTCTATATTCAACCACCCTTAAAAGGCTACATGAAGCTTTTTCTTACRTCTCACATTTTCAAGAAGCAGCTATATGTTTGTGTCGTTGGTTGCTTGTTAACCTGTGGTGAATCACATCCTCAGATTATTCTTTTAGTTCCTGGTTTTACTTTTGTATTAGGACAACACAAGATGGCTTGAATGTTTCTCAGTTAGTAATTTTGTGTTTTGCATTTATTATTATTTTTTTGCTTCTTTAGTTTGTGTTTTATATTTATTCTTAAAAATTGTATTGYCAGCCTGAATACATTTTTGTTTTTGATACATGCACTAACCTGTTGATAAATCTTTTTTACTTTGTGAGGTTCGGGTGTGTTTTTATATTGTGTTAGAAGAATAGGACAGTTTAGCCTGCCGATAACCCCTAACTGTTGGCAGTTATGTGAAACCCAACAGGTTCAACAAATAAGACGAAGGTATAACGTAACAATTCTAGCACTAACATTTTTTCTGCACAATTTATTGCTTTCCTTCTCTTGCACATCTCATCATTTTAAAAATATGTAACACTTGTGTTTTTCTTTTTTCTTTCTTTCTAAAAGCTTGAATATCAGGCAGTCTTGGTAAACCACTGTTTAACACTAATGGTAGAAAACCTGAGAGCGGCAGAGACGGTGGAGAAAAAATGTAATCCTCTAAGATAGCACGGGTCGCATATAGTAATTTTAATTTAAAAAAATGGCTTATTCTATTTGCTGCAAGTCCAGGGTTGTTGTTGAGCTGTACCATCCTCTCTGCTGGAGTGCTTTTGTCACATCGGATGGTCGTCAAAGGACCACTGTTGACACTTTCCTCTTAAATACCATTATTAAGCCTGTTATAATTGGCTGCCCTCCAGCGAGGTTGGGTTGTAGTTTTCATGGAAGTGTTCACTTCGTTCAAGTAATAATTGCAGCTGTCTGTTAAAATACAGGAGGAAAATTGTCTACACAGATAGACGTCTGAAATTTCAAGTTCAGAAAAGGAAGTTGGTGTTTTCTCCTGTTCAGTAAACCAGCTTTTTATAAGTATATATTTTAACTCTATCAGGAGCAACTTTGTCTAATTCTACAGAGCCCGTCTGAGATACTGTATATATATATATATA